CAGATTATTTTGAGCCAGAGAAGCTTCAGGTATCTATAATCGTAGGTTTCTCTAAGTATTCTGGAAGAAATCAAAATAAAAGATGGTGTATACATTGCAGAAAACATGTTCAGATTCCATGAGCAGAGAAACCTAAAATACAAAGTCTTCTGAAGAAGAGGAGACTTCCAGTTTACAAGATCATTCTCCTAAACAAATACAAACAGCTATGAACATGACAACCGAGGATGAAACTGGAGAAGAAGACTCTTACACGGATTTATAAGAGTTTATAAGAGTGATGAATCTTTAATAAATGATTTACAAAGGTTTATGGACTATTTTCAGAATTTTATAAATCTTTTTATAGATCATTTAAGAATTAACTTAATCGTTTTTAAGGATTAATAAAATCATTTATATGGATTAAAAAGCATATTAAAACATTACTGATCATAACTCTCTTTATTTATAAGAGTTCATAAATCAATCCATATGAGTTTATACAAAAATTTCTAAGGGTTTATAATTCAATTTATAAGAGTTTATAAATCAATTTGTAAAAATAACATTAAATTTTCAGGAGAACTTCTCCATTGTATTATTAGAGCTATATAGGTTTAGAAATACCCTAAAAGAGTCTATAACCATTTAAAAAGGCTTATAAAATAATTTATAACTAGTTTTTGACCCGCGCGCCCGCGCGGGTGTTTGTTTTTCATAATTATATATTTTTAATTTTTTGAAAATGTAATAAATTTAATTATGTATATTTATAATGTCTGAATTTCATATGTTATTCATGTGTAACATGATTGTGTATTGTTCAATGTGATTAGCTTTTATTTATAAAGTATGAGATTGTTTTTCTGTAGTTGTGCGAGTGTTTGTTTTTGAGAATTTTATTTTTATAAGATAACAATTTAATGGTTTCATTTAATAGTTTCATTTTTTTTTCTACTTTAGTTTATTGGTCATACCATATATNTTCATATGTTATTCATGTGTAACATGATTGTGTATTGTTCAATGTGATTAGCTTTTATTTATAAAGTATGAGATTGTTTTTCTGTAGTTGTGCGAGTGTTTGTTTTTGAGAATTTTATTTTTATAAGATAACAATTTAATGGTTTCATTTAATAGTTTCATTTTTTTTTCTACTTTAGTTTATTGGTCATACCATATATATCGTTTTCTTAGTTTGTTATATATTAAAATTTGTTTTTGATGATTGAAAAATATTCTGTTTATTTAGGTGTATCACAAAAACTTATAACTATATATTAATATATTATGTTGTTAATTAGCTATAAAAATGTGATCTCAAAAGTATTAATATACAAAAATGTGGCATTCAAATCATTATAGCTAGATAGCAATATTTGGCTATATTACTTTGTTAATATGTGGGTGTGCAAAAATTAGGTATGCTAAAATATGAAACAACTGTGTTTTAGTTAGTGGAAATGGTTAGTAATTATTGTAGAAAAAACAGTGCTAATTAATAAATGTATTTCAGTTTAACAGTTTAGATAGTTGAAGGTTTTAAATATAAAGTTTTAGTTGGGGTTTTCATCCGATGTAAAAATAGTTGAGAGCTTAAATCACTAAACTATATGTTTATTGTAAATATTTCGTGCTGTTTTGTGATTATATTAAACGTCGCGTTTCAATTTAACGGTTATCTATCCCAAAAAGATGACTTTGTTAACAAAGGGTTAACGGTATTAACAGTTTAATAATTGAAGGTTTATAAACATAAAATTTTAGTTGGATATTTTTCAACTGATTTAAAAATATTTAGAAGTTTAAATCACTAAAAACCCTTGTTTATACATTGTAAATTCTAAGTGTTCATATATTAAATTCCTTTAGTTGTTTGTTTATATGAATGTAGTTGTACATTGTAAAAAATTGGAAAATAAATTAAAAACAGTTAAAAAAAAATTAAAAAAACAATATAGATCAGGAACATATATATATATATATATACATATACATATATATATAATATTATATATTATACGCCATAATGGTGAAGCTCTTATTTTATTTTTCATATAATTTCATTCTTGTAAATCCATTTTGGTATATAAATTATACTAATGCACATAGGCTCAATTAAAAAATTAATAGATCATATTAGTAAAAAGTAATTAATTTGTACATTGATGGGCCAGTGTATACATAAGAATAAACTTATTAACATAAGCTTCCAGATTAAATGGCTAAGATAATTTCCAAAGTAAACAAATGGGCCACGACTTTTCTATTTATTTAACTAAACCCCATCGGAAAATCTAAATATTTTTTTTTCTGGGGAAACACGTAAGTTCCTAACCATTCATCTTCCACTGTATTTCATTTTTTTTGTCGGTGATGCAGAAATATCTATTTCTTCCTCTCAATTCATCAGCCTTAACCTTATCTCGTAAATAGAAGATTCACCTCCTGAAACGAAAAAGATTGTCAGATATACCTACATGATTTCCATCTCCGTATCAAAGGGCGTAAGTGGATCCACTTGATTTCTTAAGGTTAGAGTCTTATTTTTTATATCTGAAGCGCATGAGATNGTGATGCAGAAATATCTATTTCTTCCTCTCAATTCATCAGCCTTAACCTTATCTCGTAAATAGAAGATTCACCTCCTGAAACGAAAAAGATTGTCAGATATACCTACATGATTTCCATCTCCGTATCAAAGGGCGTAAGTGGATCCACTTGATTTCTTAAGGTTAGAGTCTTATTTTTTATATCTGAAGCGCATGAGATTTTCTTTTCAGACCCGTGTAATAAATGTTTCATACATATTGATTAGGTAATTCACATATCGAAACTCACTTAAAAGAAACTCTGGGCGAAGATCAATGTTGATTCTATTAGAGAAGTCGGATTGACTTAATTGCAGAAGCTTTGTTTAAATGCTAGAACAACCAAGTATCGTGATCAGAGGAGTCATGAAATCGACATTTCAAGGTCTTATATTAATTGAATACTACTGAGATAAGGTCAATTTTCTTATAGCTGATTTGCTTTTATACATACAGTATTAGTAGTATTGAAAAAGAGGGACAGTAGCCAGAATTGATTAATACAAAAGCAAGACTGAAGGGAGAAGGACAGAAAGATAAGAGACATGCATGGTAAGTAATTGTCAAACATTCTCTGCACTTTCATAATCTGTCGTTTGATTATCTATATAGTTAGTAAATGTTGAATGTTTGTGTAGTTATTTGTATATTCCGTGGTCTAATATGTTTTATAGAAACGCTTTATCCTTTTTGTAATGATTTTGTTGATCTTTTTATAAAATCATCATAAAATGATATTGACCTTTTTAATGTTTCGTATGAAATTGGACGTTTCGAGAACCAAGTTCAAACTATCCAGTTGCAATGAAGAAAACACCTTGCCGAAGAAATAGAAACAGAACATGGTTAGTAATTACTTATTTATCTTAACTAATACATAAGATAAAAGCAATGTAAAATAATTTAAAATAAGTTAGAATATTGAAAGAACCTTTCCTTAACAATATATGTTAGGTTTCGTCTTGACTGAGTGATGCATTTCTAGGTACATGTTAATGATAAGCTAAAAACATCTCAAAGGTATCTCCACCAAAAGATTGTTTTGTTTCCATGAATGTAAGCATTTAACATGAATTCACCATGCGTTTTTATAGCTCTGACTTTTGTGAGAGAAGAGCAAAAGTTGTCGCTATAGACATGTTTAGATTGAGGATCTTTCAATGCTTTTCTTTTGACGCAATAGAGATGAGGTATATATAGTTGGCTTTTGAAATAGTAGGTAAAATAGGGGAATTTAAGAAATTATTTTGTTAGTTGTGATCGGAACGTATTAAAAAAAGAATATACGGTTTTGAATTATTTGCTAAACATTCTTTTTATATTAAATCATCATATTAACCAGAATATTCGTTTTATAGATTAGGAAAACGTGATTTTGCAAGTTTTGATAACAGGATATTCAGATTTTGTTAGTTAATTGATATCTTTTTTTTTTTGTTACGATGATGCGCTGAAATAGGAAACAATTTTTGGTTGATTATTCAGTTTAGGAAAATATGAATTTATTAGTTTTGATTTTGTGCAGTTAATTGTCATTTCTTTAGTTACGCGGTTTATGAAATGTTATTGATTATGAAAATACGAATTTAAGTATCCGGTAATATCTTAGGATGCTAACAAACAGAGGTAATATGTATCATAGGATTATTTATCATGATACTAATATCTTAGGATACATGCTTGATCGATACATTTTAAAATATATAGCAAGATACTACCATGATACAAAACCGAGAAACCAATAGATACATGAAAACAATACTAAGATGAGAAACAGTTCTTTGATAATTATAGGTTTTATTATTTATGATATATGATGGATCAGAATTATGTGGTTAAGTATTTACAGAATTGATTTTTTAATGTAGTGAACTGAATTTTGTATCTATCTAATCTATTGATTTTGATTATGCAGACCAAGATTAACTGATGATAATTTGGTATGGAAACACGTGAGTTTAGGTTCTGCCGGTTTTGTTTTGAGTTTTCTCAGGTGGGTCAAATTTAATTAGATGGTTTATTAATGTTATTAAACGCTGTGTATAAGCCCAATGGCATTCAGTGGTAAATTTTGTGCAAAACTCAGGGCTAAGTACAAAATGTACTTCACTTTTAATAGATTAGATGGTTTGTATAATCCTTTGTAAGGGCTTATAAAGGTATGTAAATAACTTATAAGAGTTTATAAAAGTAATTTATAAAGTTTATACACCATTATAAAAGATTATAAAACAATTTATAAGGGTACTTGTACTTGAAGAACCACTAAGAATCTTCACCGTTAGCAGCCTTGTCTTTTCTTCTCATGGAGCATTCTTCATGCCACAATGATGATACAACTTAGGCTGATCACCATCAACTAATGTCTCACTCTCAAAGATCATAATCTTGTACTCTTCTTTAGCCCAAAAATGCAACACAATAACAGAATATGAAAACTTTTATTCATCAACGAGTTTTTCTTCAAATACATAATAACAGAATCAGCAACTCACTAGCGTACATACATATTAACCCAGAGACTACATTTCTAAGGAAAAACCAAATTGCAGTATACCTCATTGGCACCACCGCCTTCGACGTTGCTCTGCCTTGCCACCGGAGACGAGATAGAGAGCGAGCAAGGTGTGACGGAGACACGGAGATGTGACAATGGAGACGAGGCTTTCACAGCCTCCTTTAACTGGTTAAGCACACTTGGTAAAAAAAAAAACTGGAGAACAAGAGAATGAACCTACAAAAAAGGACTTTCTTCGTTTAAGGGCTTCAGGTGCAAGATCCTCATCTCCTTTTGCAAGAGCAAGTTGTGCCCTTTTGTACCTATTTAAGCGTGAACATGTATGAATAATCAGCAAAATGAAGAATTTGAAGCAAGAAAGTAAGGAACATCAAGGCTAAAATAAATATACCAGTCATCAGAAGATTGCTTTGAAGCTTTATATTTGTTCTCCAACAGCTTTTGTGATGCCAAAACCTTTAAATTGATAAAACACAAGTTAGCTAGTCTCCAAAAAAAAATTATAAAAACTCCAGAAGAAAAAAACATCAAAAAGGAACCTGTGCAGTGGCTTGAAGCATCTTGGTCAAATCACTATTCATTTCAATAACAATTTGCTCAAGGATCTTTTCAGGGTCTTCAACGGAGCTTATAAGCGCATTGGCATACGACTTTTCTTATCCAAAAGAAGAAACAAACATGGAGTAATTAATGAACTCCATATGCACTAGAATCAGAGAAAGGTTATAAAGGTACCTTGACAACTCTAGAAAATCTTTCAAAAAGATTCATAGTAGGACCATGAGCATTGCACTTCAATATGTTCCCACAAGCTAATCTGAGCTGGTTCACTCTCAAAGCTCCACCTTTTATCAAAGAAGAAAACAACAATCAACATATGGCATGCACTTCCACTTGAGTTCATATCTGAGTATAGAGAAAAGTAAAGACAAAGGCCAAAGCTTGAATCCATGAATCCTGAGAGACAAGCTAATGATGTACAAGCACGAAAAGCAGATGCATAATCCGGTTCTGGTTCATGTTCAACGTGTGTGCCGCTACTGAATGAGCCAGCCCCGAGACTCGTTAACTGTGGCACTATTAGCCTATGAAGCTCTTCAAGGGAGACAAACCTGTTGGTTCTAAGCTTCTTCAAGAAGGGAGACCTAAGCACAAGCCCCCCAAGGCCTTGAAACTGATAGGTGACTCTACACAGTCAAAACACAAAAACACAGAGACTCCAGATGTGTAGTTTCACCCTCGGGAAAACAAGAGATCCAATCCACCTCTCAAACATCCGTTTCAAACAAACTTTCTCAAGCCAAGGGTAAGCCTTTGCTGCTTCAACAACCCAAGGCGTGAACTTAGCTCCCCAATCACGAGGCATGAGGTTGAAATCTGCAAACCTCGGTTTCTCTTTCAGGATAAGTGACCTCACGCGCGTGAATCGGCGAGTGAGCTGCGCTGGAGAGAGGGAGTAACAGTTGCCGATAAACACCTCGAATTGGGTCTAAGCTTCCACCCGGTACCAAGATCTGCACACTAATGACACCGCGTCGCGATCGCATCTCGAGGTCAGGAACACCAGCACGTTCTCCAGGACGTGGTCTGGACACGGCGGCTAAGTCACTGGAGAAGATGATTTGCAGCTCCGAGACTTGGCGCAGAGTGGATCCAGCTTGAGAAAAAAAGATTAGGTTTGATAAATGTATTGAGGGGTAGAATAGTATTTTGTCTATCAAAACTTTAAAATTTTAAGTGTAAAGTTGGTTAGTGTAAAAGTGAAATAGTGTATCATCAAACTGGTAGTTTTAGCAATTTCCCTATATTCATTCTTTTTTTTTTGAACAATTATCTACTATGATTAAAAGTTGATAATAAAGCCAAAAGAGGCTGTCCACGTGGGCAGAAATAATCTGCCAATCAAGAGTCTTCATTTCGCCACGTCCTCACGCCTTGAGTCTAGCAAACCAGAAAACCAGTTGGTTTTACAACGCGAATTGGAGATTTAATTTGTGTTTGCTTTGGTTTTTTATCTGTGTTCGGTTTTGGCTTAGACCGACATCTTTTCCCTTTTATTTTTTTCCAGACGACGTAACCTAGGGAGTTCAGAGTACCTCACTCTTCGTCTTCCTCCGATGAGGTTCCAGATCTCTCAACCGTTCTCCAAACAATCAATACCAACTGTTTTGATAATCAATTCCTCTCTTTATCTCTTCAATCCATCAGTTTTGCCGATGGGATTGGGCTTTCCTTTCACCTTCCTTCCATACTTCTTATTTATAGTCCCTCCATTCTCTGCTTCGATTTTGTTTTTCAAGAAGCTCTTCTTTTTCTCAAAAACGATTCGATGGAACCCCAAAAAACCAACCAGAAGCTTCTTTCATCATCCATGGCCGCTGAACAAAAGAGGAAGTCTTCCGATACCTCTTCCATTGGGACCAAATCTCAAGGCGAAGCCGCTGTTATGGCTCCGCATCTTGAAGCTAACTTGGTTTCTCTAATCTAGAAAACCACACTACTCGATTTGACATATCAGGCAGCGGTAAAATATAATTTATTGGTTTTTTCGTCAGTTATTTCTTTTTAATTTTGGGTCATCTCTTATATATTCTATGATATATAAATTAACAACAAAAATTAGAAATTTGTGACATGTCCATTGCTAAGCTAAGATTTTATACAAAAACTTATTTGCTTACAGAAGAATGTTTTTTTGTTTGTTGAAGATGTAAAATGAACAGCGTAGTTATTACATGTTGGCTCTAGAATCATCTAACTGAGGACTTATGTGTATTTGATTCCCGTACTGAGCTGTTTTTGTGTTTGCAGGATGGAACCTTCATATAAGATGTGGATTAAAGAGAAGATAGAAAGTGGTCGAGTCTCTGTAGAATCAAACCAGCTCTGCAATGAACTTCAAGCAGAGCACAACTAAATGGCAGGTTTGTTAAAACAGCTTCACACACATCTTTTGAATTATTCTCATGAGTGGTGTTGTGATTTTGAAATCAATTGGAAGAGTTTGAGAGTGCAATAAGGTTGAGTCACGGACATTGTAGAGACGACACTACTACGTTGACTAGGCATAAACATTTTTTCTCCGCTATAAAACCAGGTTAATCGAGTACAATCTGCATTATGTGAAAACGGGGAGCAACCTCTGTGTTGGGTGGATCTTAACAAAGAAGAGTGTGATGATCTTGCCATGTTTCTCTCATATCCTCAGGAACCTAATATAGCCATACACGGAAACTGTAAAATCGTAGATCTATTTGTAAAACTTGAAGCTACAATTTCGTGAGGTTTGGACGTGTTCCTGAGAAAACCAATGATGCATATTGTGTTCGATGATATATCTCCAATGTTTGTTTGCCTACTTCAGATATTGGTTTGGAACAAACAACATATGTCCCCTTAAATCAATCTATAACAAAATCCATTCCAAAATCATGCGGAAGCCTTTTTAATGCAAGTGCTCTAACCATGTGAAAGAGTATAATAAAGTTGTACAGCTAATATTTAATTAATTATTAAAAATTGTTTTGAACATTTAATATAGTCTAAATACAAATGATACACCAAAATTTCCATATGAAGCAAAGAAGGTTTGGGAGATTTTCTAAGGGGGGCTATTCAAAATAGACTTTGTGTGGAGTTTAAAAATTTTATAAGTTAAGAGATTTTGTAAAGTAAAAAAAAAAAAAAGTTAAGTAGTTTTGATATATATGAATCAAGTTTTGATATTAGCAATGTGCTATAGATTTTTCTTGGAAAGTTCCCTTGATCCTCTGCAATATTTCACATTCCTGAAATATCAAAACTTGACTGGATCAATATATATGATTTATTTCTCACTTTCTCTTGCTATATTAAAAAATCTCAACTCTAATTTGCTTCCGAATATTTGTGCAAATATTGAACTTATTTAAAGATGTGTTGTAAATTTAACTTAGGGCAAAAGTAAAACATTAACAAAACAGTAGTTAAAGGACAACTAGATATCTACCTACTATACAAGCTCAAATTTTTTTTGTTCCTTAGGATAAAATTATCAAATGATATTCATATATTTATACTAAATTTAGACGGAAAATTATATACAAAACTATCGTGAGGACAAAGACCTAAATAGGGAGACCAATTTTTAGTAAGAAATTAAAATCAGTATTTTTTACATATAAAAAAGTTTTTTATTATAATAAAAATATGCTTTATCATGTAAGAATATTAAACACACCTATGTATAGAATTGTATACAATATATATGGAGAGATGTATCTCTTTTATTTTTATTTTTTAAATGTAAAATATTTATTTTTGGATAACACAATATAAACTATTTTTATAAGATGATAATTATCAAATAAGAAACATTTTAATTTATGATTATATATATGTATATATATATTAACAAATCTAATTATTTATTAAAGATAATGAAAATTTTATAACACAATATAAATTAATTTTAGACAATGATAACTATCAAATCAATAAAATTTATTTTTAGTTAATTGTTAATTATATACTAACAAATCTATTTATTTATTAAGAATAATAAAGCCTTTAGTAGCTTTAACTTTAAATATGAGAATTGAAGAACGAAAAATCACTTTACAAATATTAATATAGATTATTAAAATAAACATAAATGAATTGATTGAATAAAAAATTAACTATACCAAACAAGTAACTTTGAGTCTATGTTCGTTCAGGCCCAGTTCTAAATATTCCCATCCCATCAACAACCTCTACCTTGAGAGTACCATCTGCTTCTCCATAATTAACATTTTCCCGTTGTTTAAGATTTTATAAATTTTTTCTTCGAGCTTATGAAAACTATAGTCTACTTCTACACATTATTCCACAAACGCTTCTATTTCATTATGGATCAAACATTATTTACTACCTGCTTTACTCAATACGAATTCTTTGGCTGAACATATTTCTAAGTTATTAAAAGATTTTATGTATAAACCACCTGCTAATATATATTAGCATCTCGGATATCAAAAATTTTAGATCAACACTTTTTCTAAAAATACAAAAACCACAACAAATGATTTATCTCCTACAAAAAAATCCGGGTGTAGACAAGTAAATCTGATTTCCCTCAAACACAAAAACCCGGGCGTAGCCCGGGAAAAGGATCTAGTATCTATACTATTATTTAAGAAGTAAATTTGCTTAGTTGTCAACTTCTCCATAAATTTAGGTAATTTTGTTTATTTATCATATTTCTAATATTATATATAAATTATTTATAAATAAAACGAATTTTTGTGAATATATCATATTTTAGAAAATAAGATAATTCTTATGAATTATGTTGTTATCTAGAAATATATTTTAAGAATTATCTTATTATCTAGAAATATATTTTTATATATAAAATTTAAAAAGATAATTTTTATGTATTATGTTGTTATTTTGAAAATATATTTTATTATAAAACTTAAAATTAAGATATAAAAATTATATTATTAATAATTAAATTTATATTTTAGAAAATAAATTAATTCTTATGTATTATTATCTTGAAAATATATATTTATTATAAAATTTAAAATTAACATGTAAAAACATTATTCTATTATTTAAGAAATTTGATGTTTTCTGATTTGTCATATTTTCCATGATTTTAAGTAATAATTTTGATAATTATTTAAGAAGTAAATTTGTTTAACTGTTAACTGTCATGTTCTCCATAAGTTTAGGTAATTTTTTTTATCTATCATAGTTATAATATTATATATAATTTATTTATAAATAAAACAAATTTATATGAATATATCATATGTTAGAAAATAAGATAATTCTTGTGAATTATGTTGTTATCTAGAAATATATTTTAAGAATTATCTTATTATCTAGAAATATATTTTTTTATTAGAAATTGAAAATTAAGATATAAAAAGTTGTAGTTATTCTATAGTTGGAATAAATTTACACTAATAAAACTGTACTTTTAGAAAATAAGGTAATTCTTTTGTATTATGTTGTTATCTTGAAAATATACTTTAGATTATATAATTTAAAAATAAAATATAAAACTTATCTATTTTTAATTAAATATAAATTATCACTCAAGGAAAATTATTTAAGAAGTGAATTTGCTGATTCATTAAGTTCTCCATGATTTTAGGTAATT